GGGAATCGATATAAATTAGGGGGGTTTCGACGCACCTTGCGAGCGAGACGACGCGGCCTGTGGCGGAGATACGACGCCGCTGGGGGGGGGGGGGGATACGACGTAACTTGAGCGGGATAAGACGTAGCTGCAGGTAGATACGATACGATTTGGCGGAGATACGCGCTTATGGGGAGATACGACGCAGTTTGGACGAGATACGACGCGTTCTAGCGGAGATACGACGGATGCTTGTGGGGGGGAGATACGATGCGGATAGCTAGAGATATTAGGCGCTTCGGTGCAAAAGGTTTATATGAAGATTCATATTGCCGCTGAACGAATCGCGGCTAGTGAAGTAGTGCACCAACTATCACTATTCGCGATTAAGATAATACGTGCAGGCGGCTCAGAGAAATCCGATTAAGAATTAAGACAAATCCCATGCAAAGATTAAAATAGAAAAATTAGCATAATTAGGGCAGAATATGAATACGATTAAAATAAAACCTCTTTATGCTTAAGAATATCTCTCTATATATATCATATTTCGGCGGCATATAATAATATCACACCTTTCTCATGATTCGAACATATTTAAAAAGATCGATCGTATATCCCAGAACAGACAGACCCCATAAATTCGAACGTAGACAAAAATTCATATAAAACCCTCAGACCCTGCAGACCCCGCGGAATATACAGACCCCACAAATCCCGCAGACACTACAAACACCACAAAAGCAGAACGCAGCTTAATAAACATAAAGAACGCATCAAAATTATTCATATTTTATTTTGGTCGGGGAGGCTCGTAAAAAAATCTTCATATAGACACAACAAATCCGCAAACCGCAGACCCCAGAAACTCCGCAGCCCCCACAAAACCCCTCAGACCGCAGACCCCAGAAACTCCACAGACCCCACAAAGCCCTTCAGACCCCACGAACCCCATAGAACATACAGACCCTACAAACCCGGCAGACACTACAAACAACACAAAACCCTGCTATTCCGCAGATCCGACAAACCCTCAGCACCCCACAGACCCCACAAACGCAATACACAAAACCCCTCAGACCGCAGACCCCAGAACTCCGCAGACCCCACAAAACCCCTCAGACCCCAGACCCCCGCAGACCCCACGAACCCCACTGAACATACAGGCCACAAACTCCGCAGACACCACAAACACCACAAAACCCTGTTATTCTGCAGATCCCACAAACCCTCGGCACCCCACAGACCCCACAAACGCAATAGCAGGACACAGCGTAATGGGTACAAACATCGCATCACAGTGGCCATTCAGTCCAAGCTGTTCGAAACATTTTGGGAAGGGGGGGCTCCCAAAATGTTCTAGCTTTTCGAAGGGGCTCTAAATGTTCGCAACATTTAGAGCGACTAGACGGCCCGGAAAAGGACAACAGGACTAACGGCCGCGCACAGCCGCCAGGACCGCAAGTGACGCCGGCGTTTTATTGAAGCGTGTATATAAATATAAGTATATTTATATGTATATATGTAAATATGTATATATATATATATATATATGTATGTATGCATGTTTGTTGGGAATGTTATAAATAAATGAATATATATATATATATATATATATATATATATATATATATATATTACCCATATATGTATAGCACATACGTTGCTTTAATTATAGTAGGCATCATGAGAATATGTCGATAAATATGTCCAACCAATGTCCGGTGAGCTTTGCACCTTCCAAGTACAGAAAGTGAAACCGTCTGGGTTTGGGAATCATTTTGCTGCTCTTCCCCAGAAATGAGGATAGCGCCTGATCGCGGGGGGACAGTCGCCACAGAGCAACAGCAAAGCTGAGCCGCTCGCCAGAGCAACGAGCCAAACAGGCAAGGCAGGCTCTGGATGTGTGAGAAGCGCCCAAGGCCTAATTGGCATCTGCTGGTACACGATACTTCTCCATGCCAGCAAGTTCGAGTCAAAGCATCGGACACTTGGCATTTCGAGAGCTCACCCGCAGGTTCCTTCCGAAGCACTGAGGACTTGCCTGCGGTCAAGATTGGCCGAAGGTGAGCGAAACCTGTTCAGAACTCAAAACCTTTACTGCCTCGCTCCCACGCCCGCGCCACAGAAACCTGGTCCGATGAATCAAGATGCAGCTCCGCGAATTAGGGTTATTCAGAACTGTGATGAACACGCGAATCAAAGTTAGTCTGGGCATGCTGCCGGGTTGTCGCGCAGAAGCTGCTCCATCGATGCCAGAGTTTTTTCGTCGATCTGGCATCAGCACGGCAGCAAGTGAAAGCTTCATTGAGATCCATTGAATATATACAAGCACAGGCCTCACAGAAGTTTAATCTCTTGCCAGTTGCAGTCGCTTTGGTGGCAAGGACCTGTCAAAATGTTCGCAGAGCCGATGTGCACCGCACCGTGCGACTGCCTCATCATGCACTACATTGTCACTATATTTCTTCGCGAAAACAGACTGCTCCTAACATCACTGTCCGTGAAAACTGGGTCTGGAAAGAGACCTCAGTGTCAAGCTGGTGCTGGACGCGTGTAAGATTCGACTTGGCAGTTTCCCAGCCATTTCTGCACAAAAGAGAACGTCTCTGTACATCTGCGGGTACAGTTGTCGGACTGGCTACATCTGCGGAAACAGAAAAGTGGTGTTCCAGAAAACGGTCATGTCCTCTTGATTTCCTTCGAGAAGGTGTTGTTGAGCATGCGCTTGAACATGACCCAATGAAGACCTGAATAGCCATCTGCTCCTGGAGGATCGCAGCCGGTCGGAACGCTAGCCATACCTTGCTTCTGGTAAGTGGCTTTGACAAGTTCGTGAGCAGACTCCAGCTTGTGGAAGGGCACGTTGGGAAACGCATGATGCTCGACCTGATACCAGCAGATTCACGTGAAGCCCTGGTTAGTTAAGAGGAGGACAGTACCTTTGACGCCACAATGTGAGGGCTGTGGTGGCTGTGTGAGGACGAAACGAAACTCAAAGCCAGTTTGATGCCAAGGAGCATGAAAAGGCATGTACCATGCGAGCTTCCGGTACAACCACCAGGTTGAGGTAGTCCTGGCGCAAATCCAAGCATTCGTGTCGGTGTACCGGCCCATTTTGCATGCTCTGTGCTCTGCAAACTGGTAGAGCCGCAAATGTCCAGCACCGACGCAGTGCGGCACGATCCATAGAAGCACAAGCTTCACACCTACTGTGCGCCACCACAAAAGCCCAGCAACTGCGAGAGACACGTAGCCACACAAGTACGCGGCCGACTCCATTCGCACAAACTGCTGTGTGGCAACCGGTTTCTCTGCAACCCATGGGTCAACTTCGTTGTAAAGAGCTGTACGTGCCATTCGCAGCACTCGCTCAAAGCCAAATGGGTAGCCACTTACGAACTGCAGATATCCTTTGAGTGACTTTGTGGGATCATCCAAGTCCACGCTTTCTCCGCTCAGCTCTGGATCTTTGTCTGGATCATTTGTGAAGCGGTGATGCGACCAGTGGAAGCACCAGAACCATTTCGCTCCACGGAAGTTCTCAAATCCAAGCAGATGAGCAAAAGCAGTGTTGAGCATCTTCGTTTCGAAGGCAGTGTTGTGGACACATTCGTGGAAGCCATTGAAAAGGAAGGACTCGACAACACCAAAGGGAATGTAAGACAACAGCAACAGCCCCCAGTGTCCCTGCTCGTATGCCCACATAACAACCATTGCACAAACGGCCAGGCAACCCGTGTGGAAGATGAGCTGGGCGAATGCCTCTGCATCAGAGAGTTTCGTCAAGCCGAGCTGCCGAAGCTCACGCTGAGTCACGGGAGGCGGTGCGATTCCACCGTTCGGTCCTTCCGAGCCTTTCGAGTCAATTGGTGCCATCTCCTCCATCGAGCCCATGTCGACACGTTGTCGATGCCACAGGGCAGCCAAGGGCACGAACTGAAAAGGGGCACTTCGGTTTGGTCCATAACAGCTTGCAGTCGTGTATGCATTAGCTCTAGACTCTAGCCGCTGGCTTGCTCTGCACCACTGTCACGACCATGAAGCTGGTGCCTGGCCGCTTTCGCCTGCAGTATTCTGACGAAAAGCGCAGCAGGAGTTTGTCTACACCACGCCAGCGATCACTGAACCCGCCACCGTGATGTAGAAGCTTGTAGTCCACATCTGCGCGCGAGCCTTCGGCCAAAGAATCACATGCTCTTTCCCCGCAACCGTCAAGCTGAAAGGCCCCCTGGGGGTCGTACCAACATAGGTCAGGTGAATGCCGGCTCTCGGCCTGCTTTGGATAAGCTGCGGCTGATCAGGCCCTAGGCTCAATAACACTGAATAAGAACGTTCCTGGGCCCCGGCACGATCAAGTTGCGCCTCATGTTGTACCTCGTCACGGAGCGGACCCTGCAGGAGGCATCAAAAACCGACCGAACCGGGGGGGGTACCGCAGCGCCAAGCCCTTCTTCCGGCGCAAGAACCCCATGGTGGTGAAGACCTTTGCAGCTGGGCTTGAGATGCACGAAAGTCCAGAGAAGCCAATTCCTGAGCTTGGTACCCCCTGGTAGTGCAACCTGAACACAGGGCCGAGGCAGGCCGGAGGGGGTGGAAGCATGCGTTGCTTTCTTGGGGCAGCCACTCAGTCTTCTTTCTTGCCTTGCACCCGACCTGACTCAACGGCCCGATCCCAAAAAAACAATCAAATCTGACTGAACACGGCCAGAGCGATCGGCCCGGAGGTTGTACGGCAGAGGATAGTGGGCTTGGATCCATGGCCCATCCTGCTATCGTGAAGGCTGGGTAGCTCACGTGGAACCAAGAACCAAGCAATGCAAAGACAAAGGCTGAAAGTCTGAAGATCCAGCATAACCATTAGATCTCATGCAAGCCTTGGCACTGGACTTTGTCTTGCAGAGCCTCAACATCTGAATGGCCTCGTCCAGGCAGAATAATCAAAAGCTTTGTAAGTTGATACCAAGCCATGCTCGATGGAACAAAAACGACATGCACACGTCACCACGGTGCCTCACGGCCCTGAGAAGGGAGAAACATTCTGCTGTAGCTGGAAAGCTAGACTCTGGGTGTTGAGGAATACCTTGCGTTCGCAAAACCCTGGCCATCACAGAACAGCTTCTAACATTATCCAGCCGATGCATGCTTCTGTCATTGCTTTGTGCGCATTCGGCCACAGACACCGACGTGCCAAAGTGTGGGGGAAACTGCGATGTTCAGTCAACTTGCTTTGCACACCCAAGCCAAAGTCCCGGACCCTGAATCTCACATCCCTGAAACACCGGCAAAAACAAACCCTTTGCCGCATGCCTGGGCTGAGGGCACCTGGCAGTGGACGACCAAGATGACCGCGTAACAATGGAAGTTTGGGTCCAAGGTGTCGGGACAAGGGATCACGGTTGAGGCCCTCACCTCGTCCAGGTCAGAAAAAATCAGAAGTGCGTCATCAGGAATTTCTGGACGCCTCTTCACTCTTAAACCGCATGAACCCGAATGAGATGGATTAGCCTGCTGGGCCTCTGAATCAGTGTTTTCAGCACGCAGATTCGCTGGATGCTCTCCGCGGAGAACATTGTCTGCCAACAGGTCAAGGCACTGTCGGGCATGATGGCCAAAGTACTATCCATGTGTCTTCTCTGAACCGAGGGGGCGCACCCCACCTTTCTTCTTGCCCTTGTTGGTCCTTTCAAAAGCTCCGGAAACATAACAGTGCCAAAAAGGCTCCGTGAACACATGCTGTGATGAGCATCTGACTCTCGACGCATCTTCGAAATTGCGGACGAATACTTCGTGCAATTGTCCAGGAGGATCTCGGCTCACACATGTGCAGAGGGGCGCAGTCTTGAAGGGCGCAGAGATTTGGGCAGCGGCGTGTTCAACTTGAGGCAGGAAGGACTTGAAACGCTCGCGCTGCCTGTCGGGGTGCCCGCTCCGCTGTTTCCACAAGTCGTCAGAGAGTCAGCTGAAACCAGCAGGAAATGGGTGACCTGCTGAAATGCAATGGCTTCTGATCTCCTCGGACACGCTTTGCCACGGGTCTAGCCAGCGGAATGCTGCAAAACAGGTGTGCGCCTCGCAGCCCATAGGCTGACTCGGAAATCACGTAAACGTCCTGCAAAGCATTCAGCATGAACTTACTGTCCCTGTAGCTTGTGACGCGCCGTGATCCAACCAGAATTGCAACACTGTCAGGATTCAGGATAGCGCTGTATACGGTAAACCAAACCCTCTTCAGTTGCAAGACAAATGCAGCCGCTGATGCGATCTGGGCTAAAGTTGATGCAATCGCTCCTACTGGCTTCGTTTGATACGAGACTCAACTGTTTTGATAAGAACTGAGGCCAGGCTGCATGGCGAGCACCGGTGCACAGCATGGCATCTGCAAAGTTGCCCTGTCGATCACAGCACGCAGCACGCCTCACAGAAGAAATGCTGAACTTCAAGGATGGCTTCAGACTCGCTGAATGAGAAAACCGTGAGGCACGCTGTGGTCTTGACAGCAACAAACGACCTATTGGTGCCCTCCAGGCACCAAGCAAGAGACGTCGACAACAAAGATTAAATCGAAAGTTGTCCTTCCAGCATGTTGCTTGGAAGTGCACAGGACGATAACAGCCGATCAAGACAAGCTGCGAGACGGACTCTACCTCTGAAAGCTCTCAGGTGCTCGCTTGTACAAGCTGATCGGCTGCATCATCATTGCAAGAATTGTTGCATTCAGACTGCTATAAACAAATCCATTAACCATGCTGAGTCTCAGCCCTTCGTCACTGTGCTTTACTTTGAGCAGGTGGCCTGAACAATCAGCAATCATCTGGAAGGAGGTACTCCTACTGATTGGGTGACACACGGTGGAAAGCAAGCCTGCCGAGGCCCATGATTTCCGCAAATCGCTTGGGCGCCATGAGGAACACTGCCAAAGCCTGGTATCAAGAAAAACCAGACCAGAGAAGGGTGAACTGTCAGGTGCGAAGAAAGCCGGCACGATCTGCCACTGTTTGTAACACAGCGGGGTCGAGTCGCAGATGCAGCAAGTTCATACGGCAAGAGCAACAATAGCAAAATATTCATAATCATGTTGTACGATGACTGTGACAACAATTTCATAAATAAAAAGAATAAGGCAAATAGTAACAATGGTAAAAACACTTTCAATCAGAGTAACCACCATCATCACAACAATGAGAACCATAGCGACAACAATAACACGTATCAGGCGTGGTATATATACTTATGTATATATATATATATACATATATACACGCATATATACAATCATAAACGAACACTACTTTTGTATTCTTGTATATATATACATATATATATATATATATACATATATATATATATATATACGTATACATATATGTATACGTACATGATATACATGTGTGTGTGTGTACATGAGTGGGGGGTCTGTATGTATGTATATACGTAGGTACGATGGTACGTAGGTAGGTAGGTAGGTAGGCAGTCAGGTAGGTAGGCAGGTAGGTAGGTAGGCAGGTAAGTGGGTGTGCATGTACCTTTCCTTCCTTCCTTCCTTTTTCCTTCTTTCCATCTTTCCTTCCTTGCTTGCGTCCTTCCCTCCCTCCTTGCTTCCTCGGCAATCAGTCCGCCGTCAACCAGACCCGCGCGCAAGGCGCTCCCCGCCGACCTGATTGCAAAGCAGGGGACTCTGCAGCCATCGGCCAAAGATTTAGCAAGCACGCTGGCCCGAAGCGGAAAGTGTTGTGCCTGACGGTTGCGGATCCCCCCATCCCTGAACACCACCAGTCAGTATGTATGCACAAACATGTGTCTTTCTTTGCATGTCTCTCTCTATGCATCCACCAATCTTCTATCAAAGAATAAACAGCTCTATTTTAGAAACAGCCTTCCAAAACTAGGTGTCTACAGAATGCGGTGGGCATGCCGGTGGCGCAGTCGGGTCACGGACTTCCTCATGATGCCATCAGTTCTCGCAGACAAGTCGATGCTTTGACGCACCCGAGTGTTGGTAGCGGCTAGCGTGGCCAAAACGATGCAGGTTCGCCGATTGTCACCTCCTACACAACACGATAACGCTGCTCCCAACGATGGCATGCCCGATGAGCCAGCGGGCAGAAAAGTTCACACATCGATGGTTCAAACCAGGAAACCCAGCATTGCTGCTTGTGAAGTGGGTAAGGGACAGAGCTTTGTGGGGTCTCAGCAGTTCTCGCATTGGTACGGCAGTTCGGACATGGGCAAGCCGTGCAACTTCAATGCCTTCATGGCATGGAGTCGGTTCTCTGCCTGGTCGAAGACAACAGACCTGAGTCTTCTAAATCTTCTCGCGGCTCTTCAAGGCTGACTTCCGATGCGTTGAGTGCTCGGCTGTGGTCCGTCTATCACTTCGGCTGTTTGCTCCATGCCTCGAGCCGCTGGCAAACCTGGAACGAAGCACTGGCAACAGCTAGATACTACAATTAATAAGAATAACAAGAATAATAATAATGATAACTTGGTTTGCTCTGTGGCTCGCACAGTTCATGAAGATGCAGTCGGGCTTTGCAAGCTTCATGAGATCTGTCGTAACCTGCAGACCCACACACCAGGGAGCTTCTGCGCCCGTGGCAAATGGCAAACGGAGCCAAGATCGTTCTGCACCAAAGCTCACACTACGAGTACATTCATGACCACCAAAGCGCCCCAAGACTTCAACCGGAAGTCCCACCAAGGAAGCGATGACACAGCGGGGCGTCGCCTGGTAGGGCATGAAGAGCTTCATGCGGGCCTCTTCCTCCTCCTTCGGAATGCCATAGCCTCAGCCATGTTTGTGCGCGCAAGTGAGCCCCCTCACCACATGCTTCCGCAAACAGAAGCAGTGGCTGAGCTGTGGGCTCATCCAGCTGTCAGTGTAGACGCAATCTACGCCGGTCATTGCCTGTCACAACACTAGCATCAAAGACTGCGTGCCCGACTGCTGAACAAGCTACTCAAGCTGTCGACATGAAGCCCAGCAGACTACTCAGAGTCGCGTCGCCCTGAGAGGGACTAGAGAGAGTCTGCTCTTCAGACCCTGCCCTCGAGAAGATCCTGAAACGAGCTGAGTAGCCAAGAGATGCACCAAAGATGGCAAAACTGATGAAAGGAAGCCTGAAGCCCGCACCTCGGCAGCTGATGCACAGACTTTCACTTTGGACCTGGAAGCCAGCAGTTCGGAGGCACCTCCTGGCTTCGAATCAGTTCCCGGTACGAGGGCCCCGCCCGGATGCCTTTGCCAGTGTGTTTACTTCTTCCCACACCTGATGGCTGCTAGCCGATGCGATCCATAAGCTCGGCTCGTCAGGGCTTCGAGGCTCCAGCGGACTTCTCAATGTCACCCTGTCCAGCCTGAGCGAACTGCATCTCATCTGTGTCTGTGCTGTGCTCTCAATTTGAGGCAACTTGAGGAAGATGCCAGGTTCAAATTGTAGCCCATCAAAGCCGCAGTTCCTCTCATCATCGCTCTCTGCCGGCCAGAGTCTGGAGCGCAGGATCCCAAGGCAATGGCGCATCAAGTCGTAGGTGACCTAAGGTGGTGCTAACTTCCTCAGCACAGAACCAGCCCACACCTCTTGGGGCAGGGACGTTGTTCTCTAAATCGCCCATGTACGTCATGGTGAAGTCTTTGAAGGAGCCCTGCGAGATCTTCACATCCACTGCAGCGAATAACGACACCCACACTTCTTCGCCTTGTATTCAAGCACGGTGAGGAGGTCTGCAAGCATCTGCAGTGGGTGCCTGCGCAGACCAGCGTCACAGCAAGGAAAAAGAGGCAGAGAAAATTCGAAGCGAAGCCGATGGCGCACGCGTAATCGTCCAGAGCGTTGACAACAGGGACTTCGGCCACCTGAGACAGTCTGAGATGTCTCGTGTCATGTTGAACAAGGAAGAATCCAGGTACAGAGTTCAGGACACGTTTGCCGGCACTTCTCCACACGACGTTTTGCCATGTCTGCTTTGCGATAATTGGCAAGCCGGGGTCCATGCATACAAACTACAAAGGCAAAGACGTCAGCTCTGCACACGTGAACCGGACACAACTTCCAAGCAAATTCAGGAGCTATGGAACTATGCGTTACTGTATCCGGCAGCCACAGATGTCGCAGCCAGGGCGGCCTGAGCAGCAAAGACTCGCAGATAAAATCAGACACGGCAAAGAGAAAGGCCGTTCCTTGGGAGGTCGAGATCCGAAGTTCAAGGGAAGACCGCGCTGCTGCCGGTCGAGCAACTCCTCCGGCAACAGAGCGGACGGCGGACGAAGCTTCGCGGTGTGATGACCAGCACAAGCGGTATACGGTATGCCACTGTCCACAAGCTAAAAATGCGATGCCTGCATCGTTGTCAGGAAGCCTCGGGTTGTGTAGCAAACGAACACACAAAGCACTAGTTCATGTACTCTGCAAGTAGCGACGAAGCGAATGGCTCTCACGTGCTGTGACGAGTCTTTCTAGATACCTGGCCGCCAGGAAACTGCTGTACTCGAACATGCTCAGCCTCGTTGGTCGAGATGCTCTGCAAGTGCGCTCAGATTGCACAGAGTCAGACAAGTGGCAAGAATCGCGCATGTTTCCGATCTGCAGCCTGCCACATCTTCGTCAGAGCTGCGGCTGCTTTGGTGACCCGCAATGAGACACAGGTCTGGTGCAAAAAGGCAGCCCAAGGAGCAGCCGTGGTCAAACCGTGGCATAAAGTTCAAAAATCCAAAAGATCATTTCCGTAGCCGGCCCCAGTGGTCATGCTTTCCGAAGGTCGGGTATTGCTGCTGTTGCCTTGTGAGCAGCATGGGTCGCTGTCGCCCTCTTGTTGATTCTGCTCGTTCGAGGCTGCTGCTCAAGCATTGGAAACAAGCGTCAGGGCTCTCACAAAGAGTTTGCCACGCACGCATTCAGAACAGCGAGTCTGGCTGGTCACGCAACGAGTCCCCAAGCAGGTCCCTCTAAATTCACTGCAGGTCCATCTCGAAGCATACTCAAACGGAGATAAGTTGACAGCTGCACTTCAAGTATTCTGCACAGACTCACGTGGGTCATGGTTTCATGTTTGTGCACATGGGGAATAACTGCTCCTGCTTTTTGCTTCTTCTGGCGGGTGCGGAGGGGGGTG